TTTAACAGAGTTTTTTTTGTGTGTGTGTGTTTTTTTTACTGTCTCTTTTGTCTGATTTAGGTTTCCTTCCTCTTGCTTTTATTTTGCAAGTTTTACCTTGCACAGTTGGGGGCACTCCTTGAACTTGGAAGTTTTCACAGCCCCCTTTCTCTAGTGCCTGTTTTTCTTTACAATTATTTATCTAATTAGAGCAGCATAGGAGGTGTTTAAAACACCATTTTTATTATTTTTGTGTGTGATAGAGCTACTAAAACATAACTGGATGTAAAGAACTAGAATTTATCTCTAAATGAATAACTCTGAGAAGCATGGAACTATGGTAATGGAGGAGGGGTAATTGGGGTATGTTAATTAGGGATCCTGATGCTGCCTAATTTCTTCATGGTTTTAGGGAGAACTCAGTCTAGGTTGTTCTGCCTTTAACCAAATTGTGGTTACGCAAATTCCATTACTTTGTCTTGCAAGTCCTCCCAATAATTATAACAAAAGATACTACAGCTATAGTCAGACTTTAGTGGACATAAGAAGTGGGAACATTTTCCTCAGGTTTTACCTTTTAATTTGTTGAAGTCTTTTTTTTAAAGACCTTCTCAAATTGAGTTAACCACACTCATACAACATACCTCTAGTATAGCATTTAACACTGTTTCATCATTGTTGGTTCCTTGTCTGTCCCTACTGGCCTTCAGGACATCTCTGTTCTTCCAGCGTCTGGCACATAGTAGGTGTATAGTACATATTACAATCAGAGCTTATCTTCCCTCTTTGGAATACTGCAGATTCTAGACTTAGACAAATGCCATAGTGGCAGCTCTGCACTCCTGTATTCTGAGAGTTTTCACGTGTTTTCAAGTATAGAGTACTTATTTTCACAAAAAGCAATTATTTTTGAATTATTAAAGGGACAAAAAGAGTAATAAATAAGGCACCCTAGCTATACATCATGTATTTTTCTCAGTATGTGACTTGTGTAATTTCCTTATCTGTAATTATGTCTACCTAATACATACAGTAGCCTTCTAATGGTCTTTCCCTTTTCTAATCACTCTTATGCTAGCACCATGTCCTTTGAATAAAATACTATTTCTCTCCCTACCCCTTTCATTTCTATGTTTAAGAATCCAGTTGCTTTGGGGCGGGGCTGGAGGGGTGGGAAGGGCTTGGCTTTCAAGTTCTATATGACCTGGTCCTGCCTTAGTCCTTGACCTTTAAATCTCACTCTTAACCTGTTTATATGAGTCATTCTCATGACAGTCACAAAAACACAGACCTTCTCCTTTGCTCTTTGTAATTTGCCCTACCTGGAATGTATTTATTCAAATTTTTAAACCCTAATCTAAGCCCAGCCTTCTCAATAAAGATCACTCACAGTGAGGAAATTGAATAGTAAACAAAAATATCTCCTAAGAGGAAGGTTTTAGGTAAAATATGCCTGAATAATTAACTTAATGGAAAATTTAGTGGGAATAATATTGTTTCATACTAAAGCATACTAAATGGATGGTTTCATTATGTGTAGTGGAGCTTACTGTATATATTACAAGTTTTAACCTCTGATAATTGAAGCATGGTTGTTCACTGTTATCTATGAAATGAAACCAACTAGCATATAAGCAATGGCTGAATTACTCCATTACTATTTTTACGTCATGAGTAAAATAAATGTAAATTAGCTTAAAATGTTAGTTCAGTCAGTATTACTATGATTTATTATTTTTATGTAATAAACATGATTTTGAAATAATATTTAGGCTAACTAAACCTCATTAGCTTAACTCTCCCTCTTTTTTTTTCCAGTTAGATGTTTGCCTGATATCTCTCAGTCTATCTTCAGAACAGAATCCACACTCTCCTCCCTCTGGGAACCTGCTCCAAAGGACAGGATGGCTGGAGGGGAGGGGAGAGTGGGAAGAGAGGTCAGAGAGGTCCTTGAAGCACAGGATTGTGCTAGGACTTGTCAATCTGCTAACAATGTTGGATTTTAGTCTGTATTCAATATGTCTGTATCTTGGGGAAAGTAAACCTTTTCATTTGTGTTAAGATACACTTATTCTTCCAGGACGTAGATATAATGGAACAGGGAATTTAAGATTAACTTTAATATGCTCTCCCAAAGTACCTAATCGAATATAGTCACAGAATAATAGTATCTGTTCTAGTATAATTATAGTTTTCTTAGGACTGTTTCCACATCATTAAGGAAAAAATCATATTAGAAGCTATCTGTTTAAATCCAGATTATTTTAAAAACAAAGTTTATAAGTTCTATTTTCTTTTCTATAATTTTTCTCCCCTTTGGAGGGACAGTTGACGGACTATTGTATTATTTTATTTGCATTTTATGCTGTCATCATTTTCAGTAAGGGCATTGTGTTGGTAAAATTCAGTTTTAGAATTGTGATTTAATTGGAGATGGGCAGTGATTATATAACAAAGAATGAATTTCCTTACTAGATTTGATGACTTTAGGTAGTGCAGAGCCTACAAACAAAAACTTTCTGGGGGCTTCTCATTTGGTGTGTGTAATAAGCAGAAATGGTGCCATAGGGGAGGTAAGAGAATAAGGATTAACATCAGCTTCAAGAGACTGGAAAGTGCTGTTTTCGAGTGTAGATCCTTAAAATGTTGTAAAATCTAAATTTTTATTCGAACAGTCTCTGAATAAGTGTCTTGTTAATTTTTATAAGATAACCCAGGGGGTAATAGGAATTCAAGAAAGGCAAAAACTGGCAAGTTACATAAATGGTATAAAAGTTGAATAGTTGCTTGAAAATTTACATTTATTTTATGACTCTCTGTCATTGTTTCCTATCCATATTTTACTCTTCTTGAGTCTATAGTCTAGATAAAAATAAAACTATTAATGAAAATAGTTAGATTTTTAAAATCCAAATAATTATTGGGTTTGAATAATAATAAACTCACAAAACACTGCAGACTTTGATGTGGAATCTCTAATTCTATTTGGTTTTGTGATAACTTAAAATACTCATACTCATTTTGAACTATTTTGTGTGCTGTAAAATTATATTCCTATTGTTTCTTCTTTTTTTTTTCCCCCCAGTTCCTTGGGGGCAATTAGAGTGTGAACTCAGAAAGAAAGTGCATTATCATTATCTCAAAGCAGATTTTCTCTAGAATATTTAGCTTCTGAGTTATTCCAGTGTGTTTAGTTTTGAAAATTAGGGAGGAAGAGGAAGTTGACTCTTATCTTCCCAGTTCTGTTGCTTGTTGGCCCTCCTTATGAAGACTGGGTATTACTACAAACAAGCAACTATTACTTGAGTAAGTCACCTGATCAGATGAGGTTTTTCTTTGTACTAACATTTTGTTTTTCATGGGTAGATAACTTAATGAAGAATTATATCAATTGAGATTGATCTGTGGATAATTTAGTAATGAGTAAAAATCTTAGAAATAGTATTAACACAAGTAAATTATAAAAACCAAATCAAGAGCCACATTTATGAATTGGAAAATTAGTGGATGTCTTTTCTTTTGTCAAGGTAGAATGCCCAAATTAATACATGCTTAGAGCGTGAAGGTAAGAAATCAAAATGATCAGTTTCTATTAGAGATATTGATAAGCTGTTATCCTTTGTTATTAAGCTTAAGAAAATTGTTTCCCTTCAGTGATTAAATGAGATATGGTCTGATTTTTAACATTGTTAGAACTAAGTTTAGTTTGGTTTTGCAACATTATTTGACCCTTTCTGAAAATTTTTATATAATGAAATAGGTTTAAATTTGAACTTCATGACATCTCATCAGCTAATTAGATTCTTTGCTTATCTCATAACCTTATTTAAGTATCACAGAGGCAATTTTGTTGATTGCTGCTTTGGAGGTGCAAGATGTGTGCAAATTCTTATTTGAGATTAAGGATATCTTTAAGTTCTGAGGAATTTTTAATTCAATTGACAGGTTGTATTACAAATGTTGCCTAGATTCACTAGAACAAAGTGTGTGTTTCAGAAATGTGAGTCAAGAGTATGGAATGTACAATGATGATATTCATTATGTCCCTGGTAAATATAATAGGTATTTTAGTTGAAGGAAAAGGATTTGTGGTCAGATAAATTTAGAATATGTAGGACACGTTGTTTTAAGCAAAGCTAAGCTTTACTGAAGATTTCTCAGAGCTATTAATATTGAAATATTTTTTAAAATTAGATTAATCTTATTTTAAAGACTGTAAGTATTTTAAGGACTGGTCAGTCATTGATCTTATTTTGTTTTGTGTAATCTTTTCCTCTCTTCACAAAATAATATGCAAGTTCCATGTCAGATATCACATTATTTTATTAATGGGAAGAAGGAAATGTCTTTTTATTCAAGGGACTTATAATTAAGTCACACATACGGGAAATTTCATATATGATTTATTAAAATTAAATGAATTTAATTTTGTTTGTTTTTTATTTCAATTTTAGTTCCTTGGATTTTGTAGGAACTAATGAGGAAATAAGGTAAAAGATAGATGAGGTAGAAAATGAGAATAGGATAAATTCAACAGACTAAATTAGACTTAAAATTTTGTTTTGTCTTTTCTATGAATTGCTTATGGGACTAAGCTTTTGCAAGATACATGCATATTTATATCTAAACAGATTTTTACAAAATAAATAAGGTAAGTTGCTGCATTACAGTCTTCTGGAATTTTTCACAGTGGTGTTTGGGGTATTTTAGAATCTATTAGTGAAGAGAACTGATCTGCTGTCATATCCTCTAATTAATGGGAGTCATCTGCAATTTTTAAATTATTGCTACTTGTGATTCTGGTCATAATTTGATACTGCTCATTCTTTCACATTTTTCTAAAATTTGAGACTTAATGACTCCTTTCTACTCAGTTGTCAACCCTGTTTCCAGTCATCACTTTTAATTTACTTACTAGTTTTGAAGGTTTGACTCCAGAGAGTTGTAGTATATATCAGAAAATATACTGCATACTTTTTCAAGTTTATCCTGTAACTATTCTACACAAATGTCTGTTTCAGATGGAGCAGCTATCAGATGAAGAAATTGACCATGGTGCTGAAGAAGACAGTGACAAAGAAGATCAAGATCTGGACAAAATGTTTGGAGCCTGGCTGGGGGAGCTAGACAAACTCACTCAGGTTAGAAATAGTGCTTGGAAAACTGGTTGAGGATTTTAAGTCATCACCGTGTGCTAAAAGTTTACAGTATAATCATAAGGATATGGTGGATAAAGGTTACATTTTAAAATATTGCTATAAAAATAAAACGTCCAAAACATTAACAAGTAAATGAATGCTATAGGACAAGATATTATCTTCTCTGGTTATTTGAAGGAGTTTTAAAATATACTTGTGACTGACTGAGGTTCTGTTTATCTACAGGGATTACTTACAATCTCTTTCATAAATTGAGATTGCTGGCTAGAAAGCTTTAAAGCCTAAAATTTTAAAGTCTAAATTTTAGCACATCCTATTTCATAATTTAGTGAATTTTTGAATACAGCATAAATAAATAATATCTTCACACATGAAAATATTTTCTATTATATGATTGCAGAGTATTGACAAAATTTCATTCCCAGCTGCATTTTAAAACAGTGGAAAAGCCTTTTTATTTATTTTCTTGTATCATGAGTTTTTTGTTTTATATATTCTTTTTATTTAAAGAATGACCTTATCCTCTAAACCAGGTCACTTTTATAATAAAAGGGTATTCTGTTACTACCCCAGTTGATATAGTATATTCAATATATAAAGATGGTTATGTTTATTAAAACAACTTTAACTTTTTATCATTGAGAACATTAGAACAAAAATTATTTTCATTCATCCTTAATATCTCTGGGAAGAACTTTTATGTAAAATTGCTTAAATTTGAGATTCCTTAACTAGTAAAAAAGTAGGTAGTAAGCTGGAAACTTAAAGTACTGGTTTGTTCCTTTCTGTAACAGTCTGTAATTGAAACTGATAAACTCTTCACATAATTCTAAGAGTAATTCTAAGATGGATCGTTTTGAAAAGCAGATATGTTTGTGACCATAGTCTGTTAATGTTCAATTTTCAGGAGAATGCTTTCACTTCTACTAGGATCTCAAAAGAATCATTCCCTTCATCTCCAATCAGGAGAAATAAAATACTTGTTGAGAGAAAGGTCTTTCTTATATCTGTAATTGTGAAACCATTTCAGTTTAATTCTTAAATTTTTTAAAAAGGTGATTTTGGTGTAGAGATGATGACTAGGCTATGCATTTCTATGCGGAGGAGAAAAAGGAATGAGGAAGCAAAATAAAGGAAATCGAAAATGATAATATGTGCCAGCTGACACGTGTGGGGTTGCTTTGACTGTATGGTTTTATTACTCATATTTGGGAAGGGAGCCAAAAAGAGAAAAGACAGGTAGATATCACTCCAGCTGCTCTAGGTGGAGCAGTACTCCATGCTACTCCATTTCAGATGGGCTTCTACTGGTTCAGTGCCTTTTATTCTTCTTTATATTTTAAATCCCCAGATTTCTAAATGTAAAGAGCCACTCACCACAAAAGTTGGCTCCTAACTAGCGCTGTGACTGTTCTTTTTATTATACAAATCTGTCATTAGAGAGAAAGATTTTAAAAAACTCTTGTGTAATGTGGCTCACTGCTAACAGTTGCGTTTTTAACACTTCAGAAAGTTTCAAAAACTTTTACTAAGTTAGTGGCTAAACTTCAAGTTTTTTAATTTATTATTTTAGTTCTCTACAATGTGTCATCTGTGTGCCTATATCACACATACAATGTTAATGGGATTTTCAATTTTATATTAAGTCAGGTTTAAGTTTTAAGTGGTTGGTGACTCTTCTGAAATCATTTGTAAAATTTGTGTGTATTTGCGTTTTTCTGGAAGGTACATATAGCATATAGCTTTTTTCATATT